CAACTGTTCATCACTTCGTGTCAGCGGCAAATGTTTCGGAATATGAGCCTCAAACTTCACTCAAAGAGATTTAGAATTGCAAAGCGTTGCCAGGAAATGGAAAGTTCGACCATTAAACTCTTCACAGGTCGCCGTTCATGAACCAATCGCCTGCAGGAAACTTTATTAATAATTTCGATTACCTGCAGGTCAATGTGGGATTGTGCTGGATGAGCTGCGAAACTTCAGGCTGATGTGGTTTGGTTTGGAAAGTTTCCTTTGGCGCCTATGTTTAACTGCTAAAGTATCATCAGTCCCAAATTGTCTTCAGGGTCTTTTGGTTGGCCAGTCGAATGCAGGTCAAATGCAATTAATTGAGTGCAACTTTCCAATGTGAAAATGCCGGCCCAATTCACTCCCCCCATTGTCGTATTTTCAATAAAGTGAAAAATATGTTTGGCTCGCCTCGACCCGGCGCTCTAATAGACCATAAACCCAGTTTTAATATCGGAAAATGTGTTTTTAATCTAATTCCTCTTCCTTGAATGGGAATATTAGAAGCGGGCACAATACAAATTTTATAAATGTTATTGTTGTTACCGGCAATATTATGAAACGGCGCATTTAATTTTGTTTTTCAATTTTTCCTTCCATTGTAATCAAATCGGAATTAATGCGGTTTAGGTTTTCATTTCGGCGTCATTGCCGTGTGGTTGGCGTTATTTCCCTTGGTATTTTGGCAATAACACGGTTATCCGTCTACCACTGGGCTAAACTGGTCATAAATTGAAGACTGCTCCAGAATCGATAGATTAGTAGGAAAATACGACGTGAGGCAATAAAAGCCCACCCTTGGGACTTTCGCCACTCCACATCCAAGCAGAAAACGAGTAATGGACGCCATTTGTTCCACCCCGCGAAATTAACTACTTTAATTAGTTTGAGACACCTTGAATTTACGTGGCCTGTCTGTCATTGGGCCGATTCCCCAAGAAATTAGCCGATGTTTTCCCCATTCATTGTTGAACTCGGGGCTCAAGAATCGAAACGACTCACAGACCTTTCGACTCCTTTAACGGCCTTGTGATGTATTTCGACAAAGATAATGAAAACAATTCCGGTCCCCCACCGAAGAAAATCAAATCATGAAGACAAATGGCTATCGCGACATCGCGTTGAGGATGGCTTTTGAATTTTTTAAATCTAACGCCTAGTTGCCTCTCTGGGGCCGACACGCCTCTGCTCAAAATTGGCTTATCTTTTATAACGGCCCTTTTATTGCCTGTCATTTATCTACCAGATTTTTTTTCGTTTTTATCGCGATTTATTAGTTGTAAGTAAGTGGGTCTGGTTTGCGAGATTTCAGGTTCACAGTTCGGCATGCAAGTGAGGAGTTGATTCCGAAAGATGTACAATTCTGACATGGAAAAAATGTGCTGGGCACTAGGCCTGGGTATCTCATTGAATTTTTAGGAGCTGGCGCAGTGCAGCGCAGTAACTCGGTTCCGTTGCTGGGAAAATATTGATGACCTTTTTTTATTAATTGTTTTAACATTTATTTTAACGTCCGTGATAAAATACTGACAATCTAAGGCACACTCTACGAAAAATTATCAAATAAATTTTACTAGAACGCTTTCCCCCTTCGTCGCTTTGCATTTCAGCATTTTCGAAATCCGTTTCCAGCTTTGAATTTGGCACAAAAATCAAATATTTTTTTATCAAAAAACGAGCAAAATCAGCGTGTTTATAATAGATGATTTGGAAAACTCGTCACCCCCATCCCTCTGGAAACTGTAGAGTTTGTTAAAAACTTGTGGTCTCTTAGTTTTGACTGATTTTTTTTGTTGCTTTACTTTCTACGTAAAGAAGTCTGGAAGTCTTTAACGCGAAAAATTACACTATAAATTTAGAGCTTTCTGGGAATTTTACAAAAACTTTTTTCAGTGTTGAATTCGGGACGAAAACGAAAATAAATTTCTTCCGTCTTTTCCCGAAAACCATTAAGGTTTTCTCAAAAACCTATTACAAAACTAAATGTTTTTAATCAAAAGCGCAAAACAAACCTTTTTTGATGCTTTTCTTCTTTCCTTGAAAGCATGGGGTCTATTCAGCGAAAAAATACAAAATTAATGCTGGTACAAAATTAATGCTGTTACAAAATTCTCCTCATTCATCGCTTTGTAGGGAATTTCAGAAAATCCTTTTCAGCTTCGAATTTGCCACAAAAAACAGAAAATTTGATTTAGTTTTTTAGTCAAAGTAATTAAGATCTTGAAATCACGTAAATATCTTGAAAAAACGACCAGCGAGCAAAAGTTTATAAGAAATTATTTGGAAAATTCGCTACCCTCATCGCTCTTAGTTTCTTAAAAATTTTAGGTCTTTCTAGCTTTAGCAAAGATTTTATCAATCGATTCTTTCTACTCAAAAACGCGTTGTTTTTTAGCTTTACTTAAAAATACTGACAGTGTTCAGGTATTTTCTGTGAAAAATTATAAAATAGATTATTTGGAACACTCGCCTCCTTAACAGCTTTACAAAAATATTTCTAAAACTTTCGCAGCTTCAAATTTTCGACAAAACCTAAATAATTTTTGCCCTACAATATTTCCCGAACAGAACAAGCGAAAGCTCATAATCAATTATTTGGAAATCGCGTCTTCTTCGTCACTGTGAATAATTTGGCTTTTTTTAAATTCCGGTTTCTTCGCTTTTAGGACAATATTTCTAAGGAAAACACTCTCCCAAACAGAAAAAATCGTTTTTTCCTAACGTTTCTCTGTTAAGAACTGGCAAACTAAGACTTTTATGCACAAAAATTAAGAGATCGATTTTACCAGAAAACTCGTCGTTTTTAGTTTGGTCTTCTTTATCGTCTTTTTCGAATACCCGTTTTACCTTTGAATTTGGGACAAAATCAAAACAAAATTATCTTGTTTTTTTTTTTCGAATAAAATAAAGTTTTTCCGGTTTTCCGAAACGAATTTCCGGTTTTTCCCATTTTCGACCAAATATTTGAAAGCAATCGTTTCTACAGAAAAGGTAACTCAGTGAATTTTTGTTGAGTCGAGGATTTGTTTGATCCTAAAATTCCAGTCTCGGTCATCGGTAAATCAGTTATAATCATTAACTCAGAGAGCGGCAACAACTCAAAAGCGCAACTGAATTACCCAGGCCTACTGGGCACAACTTCGACACTAAACACTTTTCTCGGTTTACTTTGCAACCAGATCGACGTAGTTTGATGTAAATTTGTGCCGACTGGTAGGAAATAATCAGAAGCAAATTAAGTGAAAACATTGTTTTCTAGCGTGCGAAGCAACGCTTCACAACAAACACTCGTCTGTCGCGATTTTTTTGCAGTCAGACACTCTGGACATAGTTGGATGTTGAAGTCTTCGGACAATACACTGGTTGGTATTATTTAAAAGCTAAATAAGTGAAAAGCAAGTGTTTTTAGGGCTCTAGTCAGTGTCGTGCCCCAACAGCTCGACACAACTTCACAGCAAACACTTTTCTCGACTTTTTTTACGTCAAACACTACGTCGACATTTTCAAATCTTATCTTTTTCTGAAAGCCAGATTTATGCGCGGTTCTATTTGTAAATATATAACCATGAATGTTGCGTTTTATAGAAAAACGTCCTTTATTTACGTTAGAAAAATGTGAAAGTTGAGTCTATTCGAGACATTTTCTAGGAATTCTTCAAACCTTGTCCTTTAGTAAAAGACTGGTTTCGGCGGCGCGGTTTTATTAAAAAATCCTAACTCGGAAACGAAACGGAAATGCAGAGTGCGCGACGCTTTGTTTTATAGAGGAAGGTTGCGTATTTATGGTCGAAAAGTTTCACACTTGAGTCTATTTTCGGCATTTTCTGAACATTTTTCAAATCGTCTGCTTTCGTAAAAGCCTGGTTTAGGCCAGGTTTAATGGAAAATTTATAACTCGGAAATGAACCTGACATTTTTAGTATGCAATGTTGTGACTTATAGAGGACAGTCCTTTGTTTATATTTGAAAAATATGAAATTTGAGTCCATTTGACAGATTTTCTGAGAATTTTTCAAATCTTGCTGTTGGCTGTTGCAATGGCTTGTTTATATGCGGTTCTATTGGAAAATTCATAAGTTCGAATCGATGTGGAAGTGTGTTGCGTTTTATAAAACACAAACAAAAGGCGTTTGGTTACGTGAAAAATGTTTCCAATTTGAGTCTAATTGAGAGATTTTCTGAGAATTGTTCAAATCTTGCTCTTTCATTTGGGCTCATTTATACACGATTCTATTTGAAGATGTGTCCAAATATAACCAAATGGAGTTCTATAGAGAAAGTCGCTGGTGTATACTCAAATAATTTCAAGTTTGAGTCTATTTGAGAAATTTTTAGAGAATTTTTCAAATCTGGCGGTTTTCTGAAGAAAATTCATAACTGGGGGCTTAAACGCTGGGGAAATGTAAAGTTTGCAACGACGCGTTCTATAGAGAAACGAAGTTCTAGAACCGAAGCTGTTTGTTCATAACTGGGGAAGACATTTTTCTGTCCGTAATTCACAATATCTGTAAATCCAAGTTCTGTGAAATTGAAGAGTGAAGAAGAAAGAAGCTGTATCTCAAGACAGTTTTCTCAACTATTCCAAATGATGTGCCAATCGCATAACGTTTCTAGCTCAATTATGTTCGCTTGACGCAAAATCTCTTCGTGCTTCCGAAAACTGGCGAGAATATTTGACGAAGTTTAGCAACATTTTCTATTATTCCAGTCAAGGAAGACGTACTCCCGACGGGAAGTGTTTTGTCGGCCAAATGTGATATGGGATTGACGTGTCTGCGAGCACAGAATTAATAAGTAGGTTCGGGATTTCTGGAGCACTTGCCAAGAGCCGAAGCTACACTTGTTAGCCTGGATAAATCGCAACCAATTTAATGATTGAAGATAATGGGACGCTCGCAAACGTCGACTGTTCGAGCTGAAATCGTTGAAATTTGGCAGTGTTTTAAATGGTTTTGTTTTTGTTGCAGAGAGACGCGCTCAACTTGGAACCCTCCAATGTAGCCAACTGCGTTTCCAAAGGAAAAACGGAGGTATGTATCTGCACACACACACACACACACACACACACACACACACACACACACACACACACACACCTCAGTTTGCATCCGAAACTAATTGATTTTACCCGGATTAGGGCAGTTTCCCTTTCACATTTGCCGTCAAACAGCGCTTTAAACATGCAAAGTGTACTGTGGAAAAATTACGTATAAATGTTCTTAGGAACTGCTCGAAGGGAAATATCAATTCAGTGGTCACGCAATACGAACATTAGAATCGTGTTATTGAGCCGATACGTCAAAAAGGGCGTTTTCGAAACCGAAAACTTTGGTTTTCCTGCTCCGCGTGGCTTTTCACGTGCTGGGGAGGGTCTCGTGTTGCTATAATATGCCCAATTTGGTAAAAGAAAACAATAGGAAAAAACCCCCATGTTGGGCCTAATTATTTCTTAATAACGTGAAACTCACCTATTCGGGCTGGGGAGGAAGGAAATTATTATTAGCCACTTTGCGGGTCGCAATCAATTTGCTTTCGAGCAGGACAAGCTGTCAAAGATACACGAATTATTAAGGATTAGCCGAAAAACTACCTATGCACAAGTGATAAAACACAAAGGAAGGGTTTTCATAAAAATTCCATTGGAACAATTTGTCGCATTTTTCCCCAGGCGGTTTGCCAAAACACAAGTAAAAACTACCACAAGAACCGAGCGCTACTTTATGGCGCTATAATAAGGGCTAATTAAAAGTTTTACAAGCCGCATCGCTGTATAATTACAAATAATTTCCCCCCGGCGTATTCCCCGAAACTAAAACGTTCCAGGCTAGAGTAAAGTTTCTAAAAGTTTTATCGCACACCTGCTTTTACGGAGTATTATATAAACATTATGAATAGATTAAATTATTTCAGCTCATTCCGGGCAATTCTCAATTAGGGCCGTTAGCGTTCAGTGGAACGCCACCGATTCCACCGGATTTTAAGCCATTAGACTTTATCCATCAATCAATCAATTTCCAAGCGGGCATTGGAGGAGGCCAATTTGCGCAAGGAGATTCTGCATATGCATTTGAGGCAATCAGCGAATATATCAGATGCACTTAGAGCGACCGTGTTTTGAGTTAGAGTGAAGCATTTGCAATGCAAATCGGACGACAAATTAAATCCAATCCTCCAGATTGATTCGCACTATCTAAATAGAAGCGAAAACAATTAACTGGACGCTAACAGGGTGTGCAAATAAAAACAGCTACTCGGAGGCGCAATGGGACTTAAATGGGGATAAAACAATATGGCCCAACACTCCGAAGGGTCGGGCTGCGCTGCGACTGTTGCTGTTTTATGTATGGGCTACATCCCATATGTGTATGCGGCATGTCCCCAGCTTATTCCTGCAGTATCTTAGATGGGATGCATATTCTAAAAGCAGTGGGAATAGGAACGATGAGAAACGTGTTGGAAATTAAATTTGGTCCTCGCCGTTGCCTGCACTACTGATTTCTATCAAGTGGTGCAAGCAACCACATTAGACACTGTTTATGACCTCAATTTGTCTGTTTAATGACCCTTTTAAGGCCGGCGATCGAAGAAATTGGGGCAGTTTGGTGTGTTTCTTCTTTTAACTGTCTGGTCTTCGGGCCTATTTTTACATAAGTTTCATCGGTGTAAAACTCTTTATCATTCAGCAGCTTCGGGGGATTCTGCATATTATTAGGCAAATGTAATTTTTCTGGTTAGAGTTTGGACCTAATTGCACACTGCTTTCTGTCTTAAAAGACTGTTTATAGTCATAGTGTTTGAAACTTGAGTAAATTTGAGGCGTTTTCTGTGAATGTTTCAATCTTGTTTTTTTAAGCCTGGTTTAAGCACGGTTTTATTAGAAAATTCACTATTCGGAAACGATACGGAAATGTAAAGTGCGCAGCGCTGCGTTTTATAGACGAAAGTTTGGTGTTTCGAAATTTCACACTTGAGTCTATTTAAGGCCTTTCTGTCCTTTAGTGAAAGTGTGGTTTATTTAGAAAATCATAACTCTGAAACCAAGAGGAAATGTAAAATACCCAATGCTGCGTTTCATAGAAGAAAGTTCCTCGTTTATAGTCGCAAAGTTTCAAATTTGGGTTTATTTGAGACATTTTCTGAGAATTTTTCAAATCCTGTCCTTTCGTAAAAGCCTAGGTTTATGCGCAGTTTAAGTTACAAAATCATCAACTAGAAAACGAAGGGGAATTGTAAAGTGCTCGATGCTGCGCTTTATAGAGAAAAGTTGCTTGTTTATGATCGCACAGTTTCAAATTTGGGTCAGTTTTTGGCATTTACTGAGAATTTTTCAAATGTCCTTTTCAAAAAGTCTGGTTGATGTGCGGCCTATTAGAAAATTTCGAGCTCGGAAACCAAACGGAAATTTAAAGTGTGCGACGCTGCGTTTTATAGAGAAGAGTTGCTTGTTTATGGTCGCAAAGTTTGGGTCTATTAGAGCCATTTTCTGAGAATTTTCAAATCCTGTCCTTTTATAAAACTCTGGTTTATGCGCGGTTTTATTTAAAAAATCATAACTGGTAAACGGAGCGGAAATGTAAAGTGCCCGAAGCTGCGTTTTATAGCGGAAAGTCTTGTGTTTGTTTGTGTTGTGTTTGTTTAAAATTTGGGTCTGTGTGCGGCCTGTTCTGATAATTTTTCAAATGTTGTCTTTTTCAAAAGCTCTGTTTGATGTGCGGCTTATTAGAACATTCCTAGCTCGGAAACCAAACGGAAATTTAAAGTGTGCGATGCTGCGTTTTATAGCGAATAGTTGCTTGTTTATGGTCGCAAAGTTTCAAATTTGGGTCTATTTGAGCCATTTTCTAAGAATGTTTTAAATCTTGTCCTGTTCTAAAAGCCTGATTAATGCGCGGTTTTATTAGAAAACTTATAACTCGGAAACAAAGCGGAAATTTTTAACACGCAATGTTGCAATTTATAGAGGAAAGTCCTTTGTGTATATTTGAATTTTTTGACATTTTTTTTAATCTTGCTCTTTTCTCAAAAGCTGGTATATACCCGGTTCTATTAGAAAATATAAGTTGAAAACAATGTGCAATTTGAGTCTAATTGAGAAATTTTCCGCGAATTTTCCAAATCCTTCGCTTTTTTATGGCTGATTTATGCGCGGTTGCAATTAATAATTCATAATTCGAAAATGTGGAAAAGTAACATACGTGTAGGAATATCATGTTTTAAAGAGCAAAGTACCTTGTTTAAGTATGATACGATAAATTTCCATTTATTTTATGCACGTTCTGAGAACTTTGAGGCCTTTTTCACAAAGGCTTGTTCGTGAATCAAACTTGTGGGAAGCAAAAAATACCTTTTGGCAGCAAACTTGAACTTTTCCAATCAGTTTGTCGCAAGCAGAAAACGATGCGACTGCATTTCCATGGTGAAAAAGTAGCATAAAATTGCCAATTATGGACCATTTTATTTTTTATTATGGAGGATTTTTTTTCCCGATCTTGTCGCAGCAGCGCTTTGAAATAAACGAAACGGTGAACTTTCAAGTTGCATAATTTCGTTTCCCATATCAACTGTGAAACAAATGGAGCCGGTTTCAGAGCCATTAAACTTACGGCATCTAATTTAATCCGACACAGCGCGAATCCAAAACCTGAACATGAAAAGTTATCCAGTTATCCACTTGTTCTATAAATTTTAACTTGCAACGTGACAGTTTTACATACTGCCTATTTTATATTCCGAATAACTCTATACGGAACCGCGGGTGCAGTCCATATACATGCAGGCGTGCATTTTACTAAATTGGATGCAAATCAGCATTAGTATTATTTATTATGCGAAAGTTGGAACGGTTCGAATTCACTCGAAAACATCCCCGGCCCCGCATCCATTTACCATCAACGGACGCAGAGGCGGATTGTACACTAATTACGATTGTTTTTTTGATTTCCGATTTTGAAAATGAAAAATGCCCTTGTTGCAAGAGCGCGGGATTTATGGGCGAACACAGCAAATGCGCTTTTCGTGTAACACGAAGCATTAAATTCCCAAAAACCGACAGCCTGTTTGCTAAACACTCATTTGTTGGAACTGGATTAACGATTTTTTTGAACAACCACTGATTTATATGGCTTAATCCTTAACAGATTCTAGGCGGGCGCGGATTTTCGAACTTTTCGGCTCGAAACCGCGCCATTAAGAGCCGTGAATAGCACGTGAAGGGTTGGCCTCAATCGATGTTTGCTGATATCCAGCGGTCCAGAGCAAAAAATCTGGAATTCATGTCCGTTTTCCCGATATAATTAGCCAGAGCACCATCAGGCTAAGTGCTCGTAATTGGAAAACGAGCCTCTTCACTCCATTTGGCCGCGTTTAGGGATTTCGAATTAATATCCAGGCCCTTCTCTCTTCATGTGGTAGTTTTGAAATTTTAATCGGCTCGTGATGGACGGGTTTTATTTTACTTCTCATATCCATTTTCACTATTAACCTTTCGCATATTATTTACCGGATTTGGTGGGATTTGATCCGCTCAGCCCGGTTCAATTAGCTTTATGGTAAATTATACTTTGGGCATTTGATTGATTCCAGGTTCCCGATCCAACTAGAATTATCATTTAGGATTTTTAAATCACAATTTCCTCAACAAGCCTGTGATCCCTGCCTCACCGTTCCGGTAATTATTAGTTCGTTTAAACGAAGCCAATTAAGGCAGTTGCGTAGTGTTGAGAGCCAAACTTGCACAAATATGTCGCCCAGCAGGTTCCTGCAGAACATGCGCCACATTCATCCAGGGCAACTATTTAAACAATCAACCAGGCCCCGGAAAATATTCCACTATGCAGAAATATTTTGAGGTTTAATTTGAGCTGGGAAGAAGTTGCGTCGAGGGCCCGCTTTAATTAAATCAGGAATACGGTGCCACGAGTCGTAATGCCGCTAATTGTCGGAACAAGAACACTATTCGGGCTCCTTTTTATTGGCCCGGATTTAATGGAAGAAACGATACAATCTCCTTTGGAGGAAGCGAATGGAGATGACATGGAAATGTTGCTCGAAAAGCTTAATTTCACGACGAAGAAACCTGCCAGATCAATGATGGCCTTTAATTCCTAAATAGCTCACAATTTCAATCTGATCTGATCCTGCAATTTCGGTTATTCCACCAGTCCGATACAAAAGTGCATGCCGATTTTTACGAATTTGTTGCGCGTGCCTTCGCTGAGACGAAATGCTGAAATTTCGGTATCAATCATTCTGAATATTGGTTGATTTTCCGAAGAAGTTCTAACTAGTTGTTGAATTTTCACATATCTCACTCGAAAGCGCATGGCTGCCTAAAAAATCAGAGTGTGTAAGTCCAAACAGCTCAAAAGCTGAAATTTCGTATGTTTATAGAAGATGCATTGACTGATGACTCACGAAAAACTCAGTTGATTCCGTCAGCACTCGTTAAATTTCTAGAAATTTTACAACTCTCGGTTGTTTATAAATATGTCCCAACAGTAGAAGTCTGTCTTTGAAAATTCACAGCTCGCAAGTCCAAACAGATCAAAAGCTGAAATTTCGGGCGTTTATAGAAGAAGCCTTGACTGATGACTCAAAAAAATGTGAGATGAATCGAAACCCTCGTTCAACATCTGGAAATTTTGGCTGTTAACATTTAAACATGTAAACTTTCGGCTGTTTATAGATGTGTCCCAACAGTACAAGCCGGTCTTTAAAAATTCATAGCTCGCAAGTCCAAACAGACCAAAAAGTGAATTTTTGGATGTTTATAGAAGAAGCCTTCACTGACGACTCAAGAAAGACTCAGTTGATTCGTAAAATTCGTTGAATTTTGAGAAATTTTGCAACTCTTCTGTTTGTTAATGTGTACCTATCAACTGTACAAGCCTGTTTTAAAAAATTCACAGCTGGCAAACCCAAACAGACCAAAAGCTGAAATTCCCAATGTTTATAGAAGAAGTCTTGACTGTAGAAAAACTCAGTTGATTTCGAGCACTCGTTGAATTTCTAGAAATTTTGCAACTCTCGGCTGTTTATAAATGTCTCAACAGTAGAACTCCCAACAGTAAAAATTCACAGCTCGCAAGTTCAAAGTGATCAAAAGCTGACATTTCGGGCGTTTATAGAAGAAGCTTTGGCTAATGACTCGAAAAAAAATTCGGTTTATTTTGAACTTTCGTTGCAGTTCTAGCAATTTTGCAACTTTTGGCTGTTTATAAATCTGTCCCAACAGTACAAACCTGTTTTTCAAAAATCAAAGCTCACAAGTCAAAGCAGATCTTTAGCACAAAATTCGGATGTGTACAGATGAAGCATTGACTGACCACTCAAGAAAAACTCAGCTGATTCGAAACATTTGTTTATTTTCTAGACATTTTGCAACTTTTAAAATGTGACCCAACAGTACAAGCATGTCTATGAAAATTCCCAGCTCGCAAACTGAAGCAGATAAAAAGCCAAAACTTGCTTTGGTTATAACTACAAGAACACTATTCAAGGTCTGATGAGTTACTGAAAGAAATGCCACCTTTTTAAAAGGCTAGATGTTTTTGGCCCGATGATTAACTGCTGCATTATTCTTCTTCCTGAAGCCATCAGCCACTAATTCACCCAGCAGGAAGCTCCCAAAGTGGTAACTTTGGGGAAATTAAATTCCCATGTCAGTGTGTTAAGTGGAACTATTTGGGTCAAGCCCTAATTCGCATTTCGTATCGGCTACTCCTCAAGAGCGTGTAATGGGAGGTCACTCAGCTTCACATGTGCTATTTCGAGCCTCCATCTCTCTAGTTTATCGAACTTTCAATGCCCAGGCTTGTTAATAATTTGTCTGGCCCCGGTTTCCTCCTTCGACTAAAACAAACGACCCCCTATTTGCATGGTAAGTAAAAATTTTCCGAGGAATATACTGGCGCGGCTGACGCCGAAAATGTGAATCCACATGTCTGCGTCTAATATATTTTTACAAGCACGCACGGACCTGCAATGCAAGGAAATTGGAGAATTTCATTTGGTAAAAGCATGTAAGGGCCACAAATCATTTACATATGCATGGAAGTGCGGCAGGAGGACAAATGGGGGACAGTTGGAGAGTTGATGGCACGAGGAACTAAGGGCTCAAAGGCCGCTTAATAGGGCTTTTAAAAGTTGACCCTCCCTCAAACCATATCGAGTTTCGACAACTTAGCAACATAATTCGCAACTAATTTATCGAAGTAACATCCCTTCCTCCGCTCTAATCCGCTGCTGCCGCAAGGGAAAACGTTCCAACTCGTAGCTGTCCTAAATCCTTTTATATCCATCGAATTGGAGTTGTCGCCGCACTGTACACCCAGTTCTCCCGCGTTATTGTGTGCAGAAATCAACAAAAACGAACTTTAATTGCTTCTGCAATCCACGCTTTTATTTCCTATTTTTCAATAAGCAGACCGCACTAAATCAACTGAGGCCTGTACGGTTGCTCAAGAGTGTTCAGACTATTTTCTCATTTTGCCAAAGAAAGAGCATCCAGATCACCAGATAAGAATTTGAGTTGACCTGCTGGAACTTGCTAGCTGCGCATTTTTAAGAAAGAAATTCTGACCCAAAATGACAAACTGTCCATAAATTCAACCAGTTTTCGAATCGATTTAAGCTTGTAGACTTATCAGGCAGAACGTTTTCTATGAATTTTAATTTTGAAGCAGGTGATGAATTTTCGATAAACATTTTTAATATTCAACAAATGAAATTGTCTCCTGATTTAGGTGTGTTCACTTGAAAACTGCAACTCTGAAGATGCCAGCCGTACGCGCTAGCGAAACGTTGTTATTAACTGGAAAAGCACGAATTGAATAGAGCAATTTTTCTATTAATCCGGTGGCCCTCAAGGCTTTGAATGCTTTCTGAAACCTTAACTGTTCCAAAGATTCTCAGAAGGCTTAGCGTTTTTTTGAAAATTCGTTAAATTTTTTAGTGTAAACAGGAAGCAGTCAATTTTTGAAATTTTTGGAGAATTAATTGATTTTGCAGTGTAAACAGTTCAGAACAGGGAGCATTCAAATGATACTCAGAAGATTAGATTTTGTTGTGAAAATTAATTACATTTTAGTGTAAACCGTTTAAAGAAGAGGAAACATTCAATGTACACTCAGGAGACTTTATAATGCTTTCAAAAGGCACGCTCAGAAGACTTTAAAGTGTTTTGTGAAAATTTATTAATTTGAGAGTGTAAACAGTTTAGAACAGGGACTATTAAATTCACACTCAGAATAATTTCGAGTTTTTTGTCAAAATTAATTTAAAAATTAAGCTGAGGAACATCGCGAATAAAAATTGAAGCAATAAATATGCCTCATCTGGCTGTCGAAGGAATCAGCATTGAAAATGAAGCCAAAACCGAAAATATAAATCCTGAAAAGTTTCCGGGATATTGTCCGAGATAAAGATAAGATAATAAAGTGCGGCTGATTTATCGGACCACCTAGTAGATCCAGAATAGCCGTTAACCTCCTCCAGTCGTGTAGATATTCGGACGGAATCGATTCCCCATGGGGCCAACTTCTTACAACTCCGAAGAAGTTAACTTTGGCCAGTAAAGGGGGGACGATCGCCGATGAAATTGCCGAATTACACGCCGTTGACCGAAGGGACCATTCTTTTCTGCGATCGCTCGGACTGTTAAAAGCACCCGATTTTCCTGTTGTTTACAGTATTTATTGAACCCTTTGGGTTCGAGGCAGTCGCTACTCGGGATTTATGGTCGGTTGGGTTTACCCATTGTGCAAACCCTCAACTTGCCGGTTTTGTTTCGAATCGCTCAACTGAACGGTTCACATGTGTATTGTTTTTGGCCCGATTAACTTTGACATTGTCGAGTTATTAAGCAAGAAACTAGTTCTTTACATGGCTGATTGTTTCCAGTTCTTTTGCAAGTCGGGCTTAATTACAATATGTACTTACGTTGAAATCCGGTGAAGTGGAAGTTTCCCATATTCATATCTGGCATTTTCATACCTGAAAATGAGACAAACTTTCAGCCAGCAATATCAACAAATTTTAACTCCTAAAGCAGTTGCCTGAATATGAAGTAATCTAAAGTTTAGACGAACTTTCCGGGCTTTCTCGCCGTTTCCTCAATTTACGTTTTCTGCTGCTTTCGAATTTATTTCATTTGCTTTAAATAGGATAAATTGAAGGCGCAATTGGCATTTGCTCGATCAACGATTTTCACCACGCCAATGGACGGGAAAATTCCTCCACAGTACATGTTTCCGATTTTATTAAACCTGTTTTCCTAGTGCACTTCAAAACTAATTTTTCTTATTTCTTTCCAGCATTTTGACTGCAGAAACCACATAAGAGTCATCCAATCGATGGGCAATGGAGACCGGTTGTACGTGTGCGGAACAAACGCACACAATCCGAAGGACTGGGTGATTAATGTGAGTTTTCCCTCTAGGACATGGGACACTTTGTATATATTTTGCCATCGTGTAATTAATAAGATCTGAAGGATGTTCCATGTAGAAAAAGACCCCAAAAATTGATTATTAACCAAAAAAGCGCCTTAAAAGGAGCTTAATTAAATCTCGACCTGTGTGACCGGAATTATGGAGGGTCTTTTGAGCGCCCACTTCATTTCATCTCATCTCATCTCATCAATTACATTTTGACTTGTATAAATCTCCCCAGGGGTCTAAAACAGCAAGTTAATTGAAAATATGTGTGTTTTGAAGGTAGGGGATTCGCAATTTGCACTCTTTTTCACCAGTTTAATTTCATTCCCAAACTTTTTACGAGCGTAATTTGGTTTATTTATGCCTGCGCCCGGATTCTTCATTAAAACATCTCGCACAATGCCCAAATAGTGGACAATTTTTATTAATTACCACGCTATTTACGGCTCTAATTCGCTGAATGCGCTGATTAGTTGAACATGAAAATTGACTCTTCGTTTACCCGGACGCGTTTAGACGAGAGCTTTAAAGGTACATTCATTGACACGTTGGCAGAGCGAAAGGAGACGGTGACAGGCGGCTTAATTAAGCTCCATTGGGGGATTCATTTTTTTTTAATTGGTGTTTATTTTACTTTGCATTGTTCGGATTGATGAGGGATCAGTTTGTTCTGCAGGCTGCAGTTGAGTCGATTTTATGTCGCTTGTAAAGTAAAGTAAGTTCGTATTTTCAACTCAAGTTACTGTGGCTAATAAACGCTTTTAGTGGCTAATAAACTTGTTAGATAGAGGAAATGATAAATGGTCGATTCAATAATGGTTGCGAATTTGTATTTTTTATGAATCAAACTTCCCCATCTTTGCTTTTAGTTATTCGTTCTGAGTGGACTGATAAAAGCAAAAACTTCCGTTGGTATGTAGTCAAAGACTTTGAGTGGATATTCCAATCACACGTGAGCTCGCTTGAGCAATTGCTTCTCAGTAAATTTTCTTCAAAACGTGAAGAGCTGGAAGATTGTTAGATGGCACATTTGCGCTAGAGGCTCAGGCAAGCTGAAATTGACGCGCTCAATGAAACTCTGTTAAACCTCTGATGGACTTTCAGCCCAGCTGGACTTTGAATGCATATTCGAAACACACATGAACTCGCTTGAGCATTTGCTTCATGGTAAATTTGTTTCTTCGAAGCGTGAGGAGCTGGAAGAGTCCAAGTTTTTCATCTTTTTCCAACCGTCAGCATCAAGGAGAATTTGATGTTGACGGTTGGTTGGAATAAGCGTCCCAAACTGTGCTTGCAACTCTTCAGACCTTAGTCTCTTCAATTTCGTTCAACATTTTGAGTGAGCATTTGCTTGGAATGAGGCAAAAATCCTGGAAAATGTAGATTCGCACGAAATGATCCCGGGTAATATGCAATTGTCGTTCGTTTTCTGTCTTCAAGGCCCTAATGTTTCTGTTGCTCGTTCATGTCTTTGTCGGGAAAAGCTAGCGGTGCCTTGGTAGGCATTTTCTCCATTTCCTCTTCGGGAAAAGCGCCATAAATGTACGTGTCAGGACTGCAGCACCTCGGGGCCATCTGTAATGCAACAGTGAATATTTCATACTTTACAGAGTGCTGAACGAAACGGGCTTATCCTATTCCTCGGGCAGGTTTTACCGAATTGCATTTATCAGCTCAATTCGGTGGCTTTTGTCTATTGGGCGTACAAAGTGGTTTTGTATTATGCATAATGCTGCTGACAAGATAGAAGGTTTTCCAATGAACGGATTTTTCCAGGCGAATTTGACCCATTTGAGTCGTAACATCTTCGTCCATGGCATCGGCATGGGCATCGCGAAATGCCCATATGATCCGACTGACAATTCGACGGCCGTCTGGGTGGAAAATGGTAATCCCGGCAATTTGCCAGGACTGTATTCAGGTGAGTTGTAAAACCCCATTTCTCCGCTTAAACAATGCACCAGATTTGTGGGTTAGTGTTATGTATTATTTAGCCAATGGAAGCTTCAGTGGGCATTAAACTTTCAGGAACCAATGCCGAGTTTACAAAGGCGGACACTGTAATTTTTCGAACTGACCTGCATAATTTAACCACCGGCAAGAAGGAGTACAATTTCAAAAGAACACTGAAATACGACTCCAAGTGGCTCGACAGTAAGTTCAACTGCATTATTTATCGTGTTATCTGTGTATTTGCATGATTTTTTTGCGATGAGCATTGAGCCCTTTAAGCCATCCGCACTAAATTATTGACGATTTTTTTCCATGAAAATTACGTGGGGCTTTAACGAATTTACTGTGTAATTGGTCGTCGAAAATGTCCATTTCCAGAGGACATGCCGGCAAATCCATTTAACACCACTGTGGGCTTTGTTTCGACTAGTTATTTGAATTTTATTTTTCAGTTCATCCATAAAACAATGTCAAAAGTCGCACCTCCATTAGCGGCTTTTCTGCTCTGCCTACAGCTTTATTAATGTGATTTTGTCATAGTCTGGAAGAAGCCGCATAAAACATTTTATTACCGCCGTAAAAGGCGCTTCATCTCTTGGAGGTTTTTGCGCTTTAAAGCGCGCCTTTGCCTATTGGAAAGCCCACATTTGTTTCGACTGATCACCAAACTGGATAAAGCTTTTGGAGTAATAACCGAATAACCAATCTGGACACGTCCGAAAGGTCGTTTAATAAACTCAGCCAGGCCTATAACGTATAATAACGCAAATGGACGCTCATTAGTAAAACCATCCGCATTCGTAAAAATGAGAAACGGAGAGAATGTCGTTAACCGGAGGGTCGACTTAGGAATATGACTTATTTTCGTTAAATTGGACGAGGTCCACTGACTTTGATGATTCCGGGCGCGTTTACAGCGTCCTATTTGCCGAACTGGACGGTTTTTATTACCACAAGGCTCGTACTCCTAAATACTTCGTTCACGAACTAACTATTCACTGCTTGGAATTGTCTCTATTTAAGGTGCGAAAGCAACCCTCTAGATCTGAGCGGGGAAACCCCAGCTGCAGGAAATGAAAACAAATGAGGCAAAAAGTAGCCCAACTAAATCCAGAGCCGAAACTTCATTATCCGGCTGACAGCCCTAAGGAATCGAAATGGGGCCCATTAAAAAACCTGCTGCTCCCAACTACCATAAAACTTTATTAAACGAGCCCTCCGAACGGGCGAAGAAGTCACATCCGCTGAGCATAATTAGAGCCATCTAACAGGTGGTGCCCTGCCCTGTATCTTGTCATTTCGCATTTTTTCCTCCTCATTTCCATTCGTTCGCCTGCATGGTGAATTAATCTCGGCCTGGCGCTCTCTCCATTGTTACAGAACCGAACTTTGTCGGCTCCTTCGATATCGGCGACTTTGTGCTGTTCTTCTTCAGGGAAACGGCCGTCGAGTACATCAACTGTGGCAAGAGCGTATACAGTCGCGTGGCTCGTGTTTGCAAGAAAGACACTGGAGGCAGAAATATTCTCACTCAAAATTGGGTCACCTACTTGAAGGCGCGCCTCAACTGCTCTATTCCTGGAGAGTTTCCGTTCTACTTCAATGAAATACGTAAGTCTAAGAGTTTTTTCAATTTGCAGCTTGGTAGGTAATGCTGAATGGAACACCTTTCTTGGTAAAATTGTACAGGAAGTTCAGGCACGCCACTGGAAGGAAAGTACATAACTTCAACCCATCCAGAGGTAAAGTTAAAATCACTTCCTTGGAAAGGAAGTTTTTAAAACAATTTTTATTTCAATTGACATGGATTTCAGCTTCAAGATACAACTGTTTGTTATTACAGGCTTGTGTGAATATATACTGAATTAATGCTGATGAGTTCACATGCTATCTGTGAAACTAAAGAACACTATGTACTTCGTAAGCATAATTAGATATTTCCTTTATGCTTAGCTGCGAAATAGAATATCATGAATTTGTGAAGTTGGCTAAATAGGATATCATAACTGTAACGCTTTTTTTGTGTCCCTGCCAGTGCCGTGCTCGTAGGGTTTGGCTCAACTCGGACTGTTAAGAAATGCTTTAATTTGTGTGCAACATTTGTTTTCACTTCACAAATTCACTACAGCATATTCACCCATTTTCACACATTGGAATTGCAGGCCCTCAAATTATGAGTTATAGATAATATACACCCTGGCCCTTAAAGGTAAAAATTGAATATTCTACATTTGTTTCGCTCAAAATTCCTGGTTCTTGCTACTTTCCCTTCATAGGTATTTTAAGTAGGCGGTTTTAAGTACAGATTCTACTTGTCTTTCCTCTTCAATCCCTCTTTGATAAAAGGTTATTCAACTATAATTTTTCCTTGAGTTACTTCTGCTGTAACTGTTTCTTGTTCAGTTTTACACAATTTATCTTTGTGCGCATTTTTATACACTGGGCCGCAAATTTAACGCATGGCCGAAATATTTTCTAACTTTTGACTGTGGTTTTTTTTTACCGGTAACCCGATTTGAATTTTTTTATCAAATCACAGCTCCACTCTTGAAAAAAAATAAAATTATTATCTAAGCGAAAAAAATGAAATACACGTTTTGTACAAGATGTTTAAATACTGCTGTTTGTTTTAGCTTTGTAGTTTGCTACACACACGATGGCCCAAAAATGGTTCGTTCCTGATTTACAGGGTGTTGAAATTTAATTTAAAAAATACGAAATAAATGCCATAAATTTCTTGAAAACGCATCGAAATATTTCCAGAGACCAATAGCTAGGAAAGACGCATGTTTTGCAATAAAATAATTTTGTAAAATTTTGCCAATGTCGTGAAAAATATTCCTGCAGATGTATCATTTTGCGTTTTTTCATTAAATTTCAAAATATGTGACCGATCATAAAACAATTATTTTCTCTCGAAATTACTCAGAAGACAAGCTGCTAAACTGTGTAATACTGTGCTGAGTTGCGCTTTTGAGTTGTTGCCGCTTCGAGTTAATGAGTTTTACCTCATTGGTTAATGAATTATAACTCATGGCCGGTGAAGGAATTTTAACATCTAACAGAAAAAAGCCATCCGCATTCCTTTTGCGCATACGATTGCTTGAAACTATTTGGTCCAAAACGGGAAAATACGGAGATTTTGAATAAACTTTCAAAAATTTTAGAGCGGTGATGGTGACGAGTTTTCCAAATATTGATTATACGCTTTTGCTTTATCTTTTGGTCCTTTTTGGATAGAATCTAAATTTTGTCGAAAAAAACGCGGAACCTTTGTTTCGATTTTGTCCTAGATTCAAAGGTAAAACGGGTATTCGAAAAAGACGATAATGAATACTAAACGGTAAAGACGACTACTTTTCTTGTAAAATCCATCTTTTAACTTTTTTGCATAAATGGCTCTCAGTTTGCCAGTATTTTACAGTAAAACGTTAGAAAAAAAAACGCGTTGTTCTGGTTCGAGAAAATTTTCTTAAGAAATATTGAAATAAAAGTGAAGAAACCAGAATTTAAACAAACCAAATTATTCGCAGCGTCAAAAGTGACGAGTTTTCCGAATAATTGATTATAAACTTTCACTTATACTGTTCGGGGAAATATTTTTCGAAAAAAATTAAAAAAATATATTAGGGTTTTGTCCAAAATTCGAAGCTGCAAAGGGTTCCAGAAAAAAATTACAAAGCGGTTCAGAAGCCGAGATGTATTTTATAATTTTCTCAGAAAATACCTGAAGATTGTCAGTATTTTAAGTAAAACTAAAAATAATACGTTTTTTGCGTAGAAATGCTTGCTTAATAGAAACTTTGCTAATACTGAGAGGACCTGAAAATCTATAGAAACTTGAAAAATATTCAGATCGATCAGGGTCGCGAATTTTCCAAATATTTAAATCAAATAATTTAAACAAACTGAATAAAGTTATTTGTTTTTGGTGCAAATTCGAAGCTGAAATGGTTTTCCTAAAGTTCCTTGCAAACCGATGAATGAGGCAAATTTTCTAGCAAAATTAATTTTGTAATTTTTGGCTGAAAAAACCCCATTAATGTCTAAAAAGAAGAAAATCTTCAAAAAATAATGTTGGTTTGCGTTTTTGCTTAAAAACTTTTAGTTTTGTGATCGGTTTTTGCGAAAGCGGATCACGGCAGAAACGGGATAAATTTATTTTCGTTTTTGTCCCGAATTCGACGCTGAAAAAAGGGTTTTATAAAATTCCTACAAAGCTACAGATTTACCTTGTAATATTGCGCGTAAAATACATTCAGATCGTCAGTATGTTTTAGTAAAACTCTATAAAATAGAGCGTTTTTAAGTAGAAAGCAAAGCAAAAAAAATTCAGTCAAAACTGAAAGTTCACTAAAAGCTATCCAGTTCGTTTTTTGATTGAAAATTATTTGATTTTTGTCCCAAATTCGAAGCTGGAAAGGAACTTTGCTAAAGCTGAAAAATTCCGAAATTTTAAAGAAATGTTAAAAATATTATTGATAAATGGGCCTTAAAATAAATCGAAAATAAGTAAAAAAGTTATCAACATTTTCCCAGCAACAGAACTGAGTTGCTGCGCCGGTGCGTTGGGTTGGCACCAAGCCATTTGCGTGGCACTGCGCCAATTCCTAAAAATTAATTGAGTTACCCAGGCCTATGCTAAACAACGTATACTTTTTTCTGACTCGCTCAAGAATTAAACTGGCAGAAAACATGACAGTATTTAAACACCCTGTACAATATATTTATAAAATTTTTGCTTCTTGCTATAAAATCTTACAAGCTAATTTTTATCCGAGAATATTTATCGGCCCACCTAACCGGCCCACTTCCAATATAACTCTCTCTGTCTGGATCGTCAATCTAAAAGTTACTTAATCCAGAGAGCATCTACCGAGTACCGGGCGACAACAAATTCTACGGCACCTTCACCACGTCCACCAACGGCCTGATGGGTTCCGCGATTTGCTCCTTCACTCTCGCCGACATTCAAGCAGCCTTCGATGGCAAATTTAAGGAGCAAGTAGGTGTATCCCACTCGACCCAACCAGGCAGGTTTTTATAGAAAATTCGGTCGCTTTCAGGCCTCGTCCTCTTCAGCGTGGCTTCCGGTGTTAAGCAGTCGCGTCCCTGAGCCCCGTCCAGGGACGTGCGTCAACAATACGGGTTCCCTGCCGGACACCGTATTAAACTTCATCCGATCCCATCCCTTGATGGACTCCGCCATCATGCACGAGTACGAAAAGCCCGTCTACTTCAAGAGGGACATTCTCTTCACCAGACTGGTGGTGGATAAAGTAAGGGTGGACATCGGAGGCGCTGTGGTTGACTACACGGTCTACTATGCGGGAACTAGTAAGTTCTGGAGCCGCAAAAGGCTGCGCCGATGGTTCTAGAGCGGGGTTGTTCCAGATAACGGCCAAGTGCAGAAAATCGTCGAATGGACCAACGAGCACTTGGAGGGCTCCTCCTCCATTCTCTTGGATATTTTTGACGTCACCCCCGGCGAAGCCATCCAGGTGATGGAGATCTCCAAGGAGCACAAGGCTCTTTATGTGGCCTCGGATAATCGGGTGAAGCAAGTGGACTTGGTGATGTGCAACAGACGCTACGACAACTGCTTGAGATGCGTCCATGATCCCTACTGCGGATGGGACAAAGAGTCCAACGTCTGCAAGCCCTACTCACCAGGGTGCGTGCTTTCAACCCTTTACCAAGCAAAGGCCCCCTAAGACTCTGGTTCGGTTCCAGGTTGTTGCAAGATGTGTCCAACAGCACCATCGATGTGTGCGATAGCAGCGTTATCAAGAAGAAGATGATGGTCACTTGGGGGCAAAGCCTCCACTTGGGCTGCTTCCTGAAGATGCCGGCCGTGTTGGCCTCGCAAACCATCACCTGGTACCACTACTCGAAGGAGAAGGGCCGGTACAAGATCCAGTACAAGCCCGAGAAATACGTGGAAACCTCCGAACATGGTAGGTGAAGACTATGATCTGAGTCTCCACATACAGCTGATGAACTTGGGCTTGGTTCTTGGCAGGCTTGGTAATTATTTCCGTGACGGAAGCTGATGCCGGAAGATACGATTGCTGGATGGGAGCTTCGCTCCTTTGCTCCTATAATGTGACTGTGGATGCTCACCGATGCTCGCCGCCTGCCAAAGGCAACGACTACCAGAAGATCTACTCGGATTGGTGTCACGAGTTCGAGAAGTACAAATCAGCGATGAAGACTTGGGAGAAGAAGCAAATGGTAAGTGAAGTCCCAGAGGGAGGCAAACTATTTAGAATTTCGTTTATAGCAATGCGGCGTGAGACAGAATGCGAGTAGCAACCAAAACAGCCACCCAAATGAGATCTATCGACCACTGGTGTGATAGCTCATAGAACGTGGGCCGTTTTCACTCACTTATCTCGGGATCCCAATTTCGTGGATTACCATCCTGTTTGTGTAAATACGTTTTGAAACAATATGAGTTTCGCATTAAGCAACCGTTCAGTTAGTTGGGTGTTTTGCTCCAAACGAAAATTGAAACAATGAACGTCACATGTATGTATCCCATGCTTTCGTCTCGTTTGGTTTGTCAGGTTTCACTATAGGAGGAACAGACTGTTGTTCTTCGGGCAGCAGCAGGCGTTTTCTTCAATTTTCTTTCCGGCCGATTTTTCGTACGCATTTAAATATGTAGGTCTGTGATATACATGTATGGGTAAGTAAAAAGTATTTATTTTATTAATATCTCGACACTGGATGAATGTTTGGTATATTAAGACGATGACATGCTTTTTCAAATATCTAGGACCAAGTTGTTGTGACTGGACGGTGTTCGATTCGCTCATTTTCTTTCGCGAATGAAACGAATATAAACTTTATTGTACATTTGGTGCGTATTCAAAGCAATACTCTTTTCCGACCGCGAATGTTGGTCGTTGTTTAATTAGTGGGACATTTCGTTTTATGGATCTGTAAAATAGACTATTTTATTGCGACACACCGAACTCGACCAGCAATTTACGCTAAGTTATCCTGTTTGGAGATAATATCACAACTTGACCTCAAATGGACACAGTCTGCACTAATTTTATAAAAAAAAACGTCCAAAACCCTCTTTGGAGTGATGAGCAAGCCCATGATCCAATTACTTAACTGTACTGGGAATCGTAACTTTCAACTAAACAAAACCCCGTCCAGCTTTTTTTATCGGCATTCAAGCCATTGTTGCCTGAAATGTGTGTTTTATTACAAAAAATCTCATCAATAATTATTATTAAGTTAAGTAATGAAATGAGCTTCTATTGGTTAACTATCTTTTTTTGTATTTTGAGGATTTAACATGCAAAAACAACTAAGTTGCTGGTTGAGTTGCAGATCGCTATTAAGGACAATCAAAGATTTAAACAATTTACGCGTTGATTTGTTAATGTCTGGCGCAATTGGTCTGTAGCCGCCTGGATTAGCCTTCAACTCAATCCTTCGGATCCACAAACCAATTTGCTGGTGTTTATTTAGTGTTGACTTAGTTCTTCTTCTAGTGTTTACCTTCAGTTTAGCTTAGTACGCTCTGAGTTGAAAGATAAAAAAAAATGCGACTATTTGAAAATAATAATAATAATAATTGTTGACCTGTTTTAAAGCATATAACGTGTTCGATTATAAAGTACTGGTGTCCTGTAAATACCTATGTAAAGCTATTTATATACAACTATGTAAGTTATCATTATCATTTGTATCGCTCTATAGGAAAAGCTGACTTTCCCATTTTCTCGGTCATCATCGCCATTAAATTGCTTATCGTTCCAGCAATACATATCTAACTAAACATCATGCAATAAACTCGTGTAATTGTTTTTTTGCGCAATATTCATGGAGATACTACGAACTTAAACTGCGTATGTTTCAACAGAGTTGACGAAGTTTAATTAATGTTAAGCGTATAGTTAATAAAGGCAGCGTAATCTTATACAGGAGCTCCTACCCCCCGATTAATAGTTGTTGGTCATTTCTTTTGCTTGGACCAGTTTGGCCCTAAATTGTCCAAACAGACCCGAACTGATCCATGCCGGTCACTTTAGTTTAGAATTGTCAGTTTCTTACCGTTACTTGTATATAAACCGATTACAGTATAGAGTTAACGAATATTAATTAGGGCCGTAGCACATGTAAATTGTAATGGAAATGCTAACATTAATATTATTATTGCTCTTTGAAAATATTAACAATAAATTTACATGTGGAAGCAGATTGGTTGTGTTATTTCACGTCGTTGGGTTCAAACACATCTATAAAACTGAGCGAGTTAGAGGGAAGGTGTTGGCACCACTGGAAAAGCGTACTTTTTTTCATAAATCCTGAGTTCCTTTAAAATCCTGCTTTCTCGCGAGTTGAGGCAAATTTTCTAAAACCTACTTACTTGGCAATTTCAACTTCAGAAATGCTTATTTTCGAAATCAGGCGAGTTAGAGAAACGCCTGTTGTGTTTCTGAATAGAGCACGTTTTTTCCTATAAAGCGCAGCAAGTTTGATTAAAATAGAGTGTTTGGTTGAATTGTGACAAATTTTCAAAAACTGTTTTTCAAATCTCCTACCTAAACCTTTTTTCCACCTCTTTCTCCTAATACTAGACAAATTCCTACTGTTTCAAAGTGCGCACCAGATGAAAATGGATAAATTGAAAATTTCAAGTCATCCAGCTGCGCTTTCAGAATCAACTTGCGAAAACCTTTTGTGTTCAAATCGAAGAAGAGAGTAGCAAGTAAGTAACAAAAATTTGATTACTGATTGATTTTCACTCGTGAAGGTAAGTTCGACTTCTACTAACCCCTGAAGAACGCCTTCTATTCCGGCACCAGTTAAATTCACTTTACGAGTGTCATTGTGAAAATGTCGCCAACGAACGAACAGAAAGGAAACAAGTCGAATCAAAAACAACGGGGGAAACCGGAGAAGGAAAAAATGATGAACCAAAAGGATGGCCGTCGATCACCATTTACTGGCTGCACAAAGGCAAAACGAGTCCGGTATACAAATACGCAAATTGAACCGAATGCACATTCAAAAGCGAACAGCCCCTGTTTCTATTTTTGAGCATTATTTCCGCATGAAATGCAAAGAGAAAAGAGCGTGGCATGGCTTATCGCGTTCGCGAGAGGCGGCGATATGTGGCGCATTGTACGTATCCAAATGGGGGGCTTAATTCAATATTATCGGGTCCATATTTCTTTCGGCTGTTCCAAAATTGAAACGAGCTTTACCTTGTTTCGTTTATTTATCGCATTGTCACAGCCGGCAAGCGGAAACGTTTGCTCAGAGCAAAGGCAAATGTGCGCAATTTTTCTACAAACACCCTGTATTGCCAGTGCACAGGCTTCCTGTTGAAGGATAATTAAATTTACACTCAGCGGCTAATAACAATGCCTGGCACGAAGTGTTGGCGGCTTTCAATTGGGCGACATATTCACAATTGTAGGCTCGAGTTCGGTCTGGATGTGACACGCTGAAGAATCTGTATTAACACGGCTGATTATTGACGAGGAGTTCATGATGTTATCCAGAAGTGGAACTGAATGAAGTTGGCAAAGAACGCGCACGCAAATATGCTATAGGGTGCGCCGATTTCAAGTTGCTACTTGCTCTAAGCGGGTAGATATGAATTTTCAAAAGCAAGCGTGCACTTGAGTAGTTGAGTCAAAGTGCGAATTTTTTACCCATTTTTCAAACCGTTGCAAAAATCACACTTTAGCGTAATTGAATTGACAATTTAACGGTAGTCAAACTCAAGTATCTTCTTTAGAGTGTAACAGTTTCAAGTTCATACTTGCTCTGAGTGACAAGTTATGAATTTTCAAAGGCAAGCGTGCAGTCTATTGAAAGTACGATATTTTGACCCATTTTTCAACCCGTTGGTAAAAATCACACGTTAGCGTGATTGAATTGGAAATTTAACGGTAGTGAAACTCAAGTATCTTCTTTAGAGTGTAACAGTTTCAAGTTCATACTTGCTCTGAGTGACAAGTTATGAATTTTCAAAGGCAAGCGTGCAGTCTAGTGGAAGTACGATATTTTGAACCATTTTTCAACCCGTTGGCAAAAATCACACTTTAGCGTGATTGAATTGGAAATTTAACGGTAGTCAAACTCAAGTATCTTCTTTAAGGTGTAACAGTTTCAAGTTCATACTTGCTCTGAGTGACAACTTATGATTTTTCTAAGGCAAGCATGTAGTTGAGTGAAAGGGCTAATTTTTGATACATTTTTCAAACCGTTGCCAAAAACCACACTTTAGCGCGAATGAAGTGGAAATTTGACGGAAATCAACCTTGAATGTCTTCTATAGGGTGTGAAAGTTTCAAGTTCCTACTTGCTCCGCCTTGGAAATTAGGAATGGTTAAAAGCGAGTGTGCAGATGGACGAAAATCATCTCTATGGTGTTGCGAATTGCCTCCATTTGCGGAATATTGAAGGCATCTACAAGCCAATCCAGACAATAAACCGCAATTTTCCGTTCAACTGAATTAAGATTGCAAAGCCAAGAGCTCCCCATTTACGAGCCTCTAAGCCGGTGGAGATTTGATTAAAAATTAACGTAACCCTATTGCGAAGCTCAAACATCTCTACGTCAATGGACCACGTAGCAACTTGTATTTTATTATCCCGTTCAAAACCATACAAGACACACATTACCCGATTAAACACGTTCCACATATGGGGTACGAACACGCTCGTAAAACTTAAACTCCATTCTGATCGCGGTTGGTTTAAGAAGCGCGCCTTCCCAGTAATTCGTGGCTAATCGCATTTTTCAGCAAAAAAAAACGCTGGAAAACTGGCCAATTACAAATCGGGTGTATGAGTACAGTCGTAATTCACCCGATCCAAATCTCTGGCACAACATTTCCAACTAATAAAACTCCATGTATCCATGCTGTCTGGAATGGGAAGTTCGAAAACTTTGGAATTTATTCGCAAACAATACGGAGGTAACCGAATAACACGAAACTTTCAAACTCTCTCGGCTTTGCCGAGTTGAAATTTATAGACAAACCTCGAGTGTATTTGCGCTGTTGTTTCTAATTTTTCAGGCCTCCTAGCCAGATAATGGCGCGCCACTGTTGAATTGTATTTATGGGAAAACTTTCCGGTTTTTATAAGCAATCATACCAAATGCTTAATAAATAAAATAGCGAAGCCGTGAAATTTTTGATACATTTTCTCGAGGTTTGAGTTGAGACAGTGTTTCGCAGATTTTTTTAGTTTCCAAAGCTGGATGAAAGTTAAGCTTTTCAGTTTCCAAATGCTGCTTTAATATACCGGAGAATTTAAGTATTCAATAATCTAAACTAAACTAAACTATCTTAGACTCCTTAATTTTTCACCAATTCTCAAAGATTGTGGGTGAAAAAGAAGGTTTCTGGCTTTCAGAAGCTGTATTATGAAGCAGAAAAGACTGAAAAGAAACGGAGCTACTGACTCAATTTTAGCAGAAAAAATTCAGAATTCAAAACCCAACAGTCTCAGTTAACTCAGAAGACACAGAGTTTTTCCTGAATTTCCAAAAATCGTTAAAAGAGCAGCTTTCTGGCTAACAAAAATTGTATTAGATTCAGAAAAAGACTTAAAAGAATCGAAGCTACAGGTCGATTTTTATGAGGGGTTTGGAATTTAAAACCCACCAAACTGTTTAGCTCAGAACAAACTCAGTTTTTCACCAATCTGTAAATTTCCAAAGCTGACTAAAAGGAGATGTTTTTGGCTTTCAGACCCGTCATAAGAATTGGCAGAAATATCGAAAGTGGAGGCGCTAGAAGCGGATTTTGAAGAAGAAAAATTAAAATTTTTAACGCAAAACGTTTTACCTATTATTACCTAAGATTAAGACACTCCGAAAAATCCGCAAGTTGGGAATTCTACCGAAGCTGAATGATTTCCATATTTCTTCGTGTAATTGCAACAGAAAATCCTGAAGATGTCCGAACTGCATGCGAAAAAAGTCCAAAACTCACACTATAATCTATTGAGATTTATCCGCTCAAAAATAGCTTCGTTTTCCCTCAACTTTAAGCACAAACAGATAAGAGTTTTAAGACACCAGAATTTCTTCATAACAGCTACGCTACATATTATTACCACCGCGAATTGAGCTCGTAAAACCGGTAGGTTTATTTTGAAAAAAATCCTCAAAATATGCTTTTTGAGCGCATTCAATCCTCCACGGCAGATGGAGGATTGAATGACGGTGATGATGGATCCAGCATGACGGAAGGTCATAACAAAACTTTTCACTTGTTCCGGTGTAAAAGCTCGTTAATGCGCCACATTTATCATGTACAGTTGATTACGTTTGGGGTCGATTTGTGCGAATGAGCCGCCGGCTTGATAAGGCCCCAACCGCGTAGGGGCATCTTTACAACTCTGCAAGACAATGGACACGTTTTAGTGTCAAAACTCAACTAGGAACAAAAACAACGTTGATTAGTCGGTTTTCGGGTCGGATGGCCATTTTGCATTCATTCGACATTTAGAATTCGCAACGAAAAAACTTAAGGCTCTTAAGATTTTCCACGTGGATCTCTAGTAAGGAAGTGGAGCTGAAACGGACACCGACAACTCTGTGGGCCGAAGACAATTTAATTACGCCAACAAACAACCAAAGAAGAGACTCACTTTACAAGTATCTACACGAAACTCCAGTAAAATGGACGCTGTAAACATGCAAAGCAATGAACAGGGGCAGTTTACATTATTAAAGTATTAAAATTGAGCAACATTTTGCAGCTGAAAAACCAGCGATGACTATTTCAATTAATTAACGCGCAAATTGCATTTCTGATTATTGCCTTTGTGTAAGTATGGGCCCCATTAATATTAAATCAGCGATGAAAGCGCAGAGGGAATGAGCAGTTTTGTTAGTTATAATGGGGCGCAAACTCAATTACACGAAATGTCCCATCCACTTGTAATTGATCCTAATAAATTAAAATTGCAAAATATGCCAAGTTCAAACGAAAACTCATCAACGCACATTCGAAATGGACCGACATTATGCGGTTGGGCTCATTTGAACAGTTCCTTACTGTAAAACAAGCAAACCGCGATAAAACTAGATCGGGTCGGGGTATTTTCACGCAGGTTTCAAGCCAATGAATATCATCAACAATTTTTCGCTTTTACTTTACTGCAATTTAAACTTCACATGAATCAGACAGACACTAAACTAGAACAGTTTGGAGGAAATAAAGCCCTTGCTGACCGCAAACCCCCACAACAAAGAAATGGCACTGACAGTCAGAATGGAAATGGCCACATAAGAAACTTCGTCGTCGCTCGTCTTCAGCTTCGCCTCATTCTTGATGTATTTGGACTCTTTGGGCAGCTCGGGCAGGAATTTGGCATCAATTCGGTTAATAAAACTCACTAAATTGGGCCAAAGGGCCACCACAATGCTCAGATCGTTGCTGGGAAATGGCAGCTTCACTAAGGGGGCCACATAGCTATAAACCACTACATCCAAACTACTAGGCTGGTCCCCAAAAAAGTACTCGCTAACTCCCAGACGGGCGGAAAGCGACGCTAAACACTCCCTAGCTAACGAGTTAAAGTACTCCTTTACCAGCTCCATGCAAGAGTCATTGGGGCACATGCTTTCCACCAGATTCACTGCGTTCTCCTTAAACTGCCTACTGAGCAAAATGTTGAAAGGCAAGGGCAGCGCCTTGGCGAACCAAACGCGGGTGAATTCCTCAAAGTTCCGAGAATCCACCCAAAACGCGAACTCCACAGGCCCCCGTAGTTTCGCCTGCACCATGTTGGAGAGCGCCAGCGCTTCGCTGCGCTGCTTGGGGCTCAGTTGCACGTCCAAATCAAAGTTCAAGGTGTTCAAATAGGGCACAATGTCCCCAAAGGACCCAAACGACAGGTTTTTATGCATGAAACAGGGCCCGGTATAAAAGGCACACGATTTGATGTTGTTCAAAGTCTTGATTTCCACGGACACTTTCACCATGGCGATGTAGAGAAGCACTTTGGTACACTCCACATTGAAAGAGGGCAGCCCGTAATCGCCATCATAGACGTACAAGGTGAATTTGTCGTTTCCCAGCATGATGTTTGCGGGTTTTCGGGCCCCAAAACATCGCCCAAACCGTTGAAGTTAGCAATTGATGTCTGGCTGACAGATGATCGGTGTCAAACGAGCACGTGGTAGACTCCGTGGCACGCACCAAGAAGTAACGGCTAATTGCTGTGCATTAGAAAAAGACCCAAAATGAGCGGGTAGTCGTGGCTTAGTGGGGCTAATCGGAAGCTTCTTTTGGCTCAATATGGCGGTTGAGGACATTGATTCCAACTTGCAGTTCGTTTAATAAGTAATTTCGAAAACATTTCCTTTATGCACTATTATCCCAAAATGTTGTTTGTAAATTCGGGTTATTTAAATGATTGCTACTGCGCTACGTTGCAGAATATCGCAATTTTTCAACTGAATCACCCGGAGTTTTACCGCATTTTCTCTTATGTGGGATGCACCAAATGTTGTGCATAAAGCAGTGAGGTCCTTTCTTTTCTAGAACGAGTTTTCTAAGTTTTCTCTACTGTGAAAACGTGGCGGCTAGATCGCAAAATAATGTGCACGAAGCGAAACAAAAGAAAGTTTCCCGGGGAAATTGAAAAGAGTGAAACCAGTTTCACCTTGCGTTAAGCCGGCAACGTAAAGCAATCGGTTTGGAAGTTGGGCGTGATCCGAATGTGGAATCGATTTAACTTTGAACTTTCCAAGTTCCCTATCATGTTTATCCTTGTCGAGAAGCGTGGACGGAATTTTCGACGCGTCCTAACCCGGTCCTAGAGGGTTTCGGTAATGGAAAAACTTCTAATTTGGCTGATTCGCACCGACAGTCAATTTAAAAATTGCATTTCTCGCCAGGGCTGCTGCGCCCTAAGGCTCATTCAGACATTATCAAGATTGAGGAAAAGTTCTCGAAAAAGAAACCGCTCGCTCATTACTCTCATCCAAGTCTCCATTTCGGTGGCAGAGGGAGCGAACCTTCACTGCCATTAGGTTTGATATACATCACGCGTACTTCGTACATTATTTAGGAAACGGAGTCAACTTTGCCCCCCACTGGATGCTTGTGGGGTCGCTGTTCGACACACAAATTTCCCAAAGTTTCACAATTACGTGCCCAACTTTTCCAGTTTGAGCGCTAAGCAAAAGTGTTAACCTTACGGGATACAAGTCTATTTACACAATGGGCCTTGTTCAACACTTTTTAATAGTATGGGGCCCCTTTATCAGGCCCTAAGGGTTTTTTAGGGCTTTTGTTCAATTTGCTACTTTTCATCACATTGTTACTGTAAAAGTGGCGCAGTTGTGGCCCATGAAACTTTCACTGCCAGCGATTGTTTCAAAAAACGTGATTAAAAAAAAGCCTCCATTTTAGGATCATTTAGAAGAGAGAACCTTGTTCTAGCACGAGCAAATATTGCATTTTTGTGAAAAATTTCTACAAATTTTGGCTACACTTCAAACTATGGATGGCACAGTGAAATCGTGCTCTAAGTCATGGAAAAGTTGCATTTTGCTGAAAATGTTTGCGAACTAAAAACATTAAAAAGTTCCAACTTTCAGTAAATATCAACGTAGTGTTCAGCCGCTTTAAAGGCGCGCATCGGTTTTTTGGGGCTTTCGTCCAATTTCCAAGTCCTAAAATTCCACCAGTTGCAAAATTATGTCGACCGCAAGGCGATTCGCTAAATGAAAAAGAGGCTTAATTTGCCTCACCAAGACAGATGCCTCTTGTAGGAGAAGATGCGAAAAACGTCCAAAGAGATCAATTGAGCCTAATTTTTAATGGCTGAAGCCAAAGAGTTGTTGACGTTTTATTTCGTTTTTAAAACACCAACGACAGACAGTTGGAAAATGCTAACGGAATGCAATTCGGCTCTGTCTGGAAGAGCAACATCCGAAACTGTTATTTCCAGACTATTAGCCAAAGCAATCAGAAGCAGCAAACGGTTTATGCTTTTGCCAGGGATCATAAAACTTGTTTTCGCCTAATAGTTCGATACAGTTGATTAACAGTCAGTTTCAATGGCGTCGTTTTTTAATATAAAAAAGTCGCACATTAATAGACTATGGAACGAGCAAATTAAATATCTGCAGCATTTTTCCTTAGTTGAGAATTTAATATTGAAGTTTTCTAAATAAGCGGACTTTCTTGCCTTTTGATCACTTTGCAGGAAAGTAATATTTAGTACTATGAGACAGGAATTGTTTACTGCGTCGGAATTTTCTTTGGGTTATTTTCCAATTTCATTTTTAACGAGTTTTCGCACAGAAACAACCCGGAAAGTTATAACTGATTATTCCGGCCCCTCTGCTCCAAAATGCATGGACCCCGTGAACAATTCCCCTGCAAGGGCACTTTTCTATTTTCTGACTGATAACTTTCAACGTATTCCTCAATCTCCCGGGACTTCGCAGCCCCCTAGTTTAGTCTCCGATCCAATAACTTTTAAAATAGTTTCCATGTATGCAACTACTGATTTCCATCAGCGTTTCAATCCATTGATCTTTTCCATTAACGATCCCATTTCCAGGTCGGATTTCAATTTTTTTTCCCACTCGCTCTCGCTACTTTGCCTTCGCTTTATGCGGAAAATTGGGATTTGTGGTTAAAACTGGCTGAGGCTTAAAGGTATGCTTGGTGGATCACCCATTGAATTAATTATGCATTATTTCCATGCAAGTGAAACTCTTAGAGGAAGGTTTTTCCGAGTGAAAACTGTGAAAACATTTGAGTTTTTCAGGCTTTAGCAAGTCGCGAAACAGAATTTTCCTGGCGTTTTACAAGCCACATACAAACTGTGCGCAGTTGAGTACCTCGACGTTCACCATTTTCCAAGCAAACAATCATCAATTTCTCTATATAGCTGACAGAGCATATAAAACTTTTCCCACTTTTCCACCGCATTAGCTCCTCACAAAACACTTTCCTGCCAGGTAGGCTTAATTATGAGGCCCTAATTGTAGCCCCCAATCCATATATATCAAAATGATAAAACTCTATCGACAAATCCGTCCCGAATTTGGCTCACTTTTTGCCCTTAAGCCGCATTAAATATTCAGGTTTTCATTATCGATGCTTCATTTCGCGATTTTTGCATTATCTTTGACACCGAATTTCGTTAAACTTTCATGGCGCATCCATGCATTCGACTATTTTACCATTCAGGATAATTTTAGATGATTTTCTCCTTATTGCGTCATGGAGAGATGAACCAGTGGTAGTAGTCGCAGCTCGATTTACGCATTTAATTTCCAATATCCGGGAAAATATTGATGAAAAAATGTGGATGTTTGCCAGTCGTGTAGATTTATGAAAAAGAGGCTGGATGAGGCACAAACCGAATCGAATGGATGAACATCAATCACACAACTGACGGTCGGCTCAATTAAGTGGCCGAAAAAGCCTGAAAACATCCACTTTGGCAAAAAATCCCGAATAATTATCTGAACAAATCGCAATGGGAAAATGTAAAGTGAAACTTCGTGCCCAACTCGAAAGCTGCAGCTTTTGCATTACAGTTCATTTGCACGTTCAATGTTATCAAAATGCCCCGTCGTAAACAGAACAATCGAGCACCCCTTTTCAGCTTCGAATTTAATCGGAAATTGAAATCTGCAAATTAGATACATTTTTATTGCTGAAAATGCAATTAAACTTTTGTGCGACCGTTATCAAACAATGGCAATAATTTATCCACATTGCTTACACTGGATTTTATGGATTCGGTAATCTGCAATTGAAATGGAAAACGTACCGAACACAAAAGCGCTATTGCGATATTTTTAATTGTTTATATGCCGTCGTTTAGATTGAGCTGGCTTGGGGGTTGATTTCGACTGCAAATGCTCCATAAGGACTTCCAGTCACGATACTTGCCAGTCTTTCCAGCCAGGAAAGAATAGTTTCGAACGTTCTTTCTAATCTTCCACGACCTAATCAGGTGTCCATAATGTGTCGCATTTTCCCTCGCATCTTTCGCCTTGAAGGCAGATAACGATCAAAGAGACGGGTATGAGTTAAGTCCATTTAATACACCTTCCCAACAACTAATCCGACTTTAATCTTACAAATTAGTCAGGTAGGGCCACAAATCCTATTAAAGTTGGTCTGGGAAATGTCCAGATGATTTTACACTATAGTTCTTAGCTCCGAATCGATTCCGGTCCGTGTAATGGAGAATGGGATTTTCCTTTTTATATTTTAAGGCAACGCAATTTAATTGGCTTCGCAGCCGCATCCATCCAGACTCGCTCAAAAACCCACTATTTCTTGCAATTATCCAAAGCCCAACTATTTGCTCGTTCCATTAAACCACCCGCACTAAGTAATGGAGGAGTTGTAAGTTTTCGATTTTCGCCCAGCTCAGCTACTTGAAAGTTGTGTTTCCACGAGTCAGCATCACCTTTGTTACATCCCCGAATCTGGGGCTTTGCTTTTTATCGATCGACTTAACGGCTGCTTGTCAGCACTCAGCAATAGTAAAGACGATCCACAACAATTTCTAGTTTCAATGCCATTTTCCATGAGAATGATCCGTTATCCACTTTAAAGGAGTTTTTAAGTACAAGTACAACTTTTCAATTATTAGTTTCCGATATCAATGTTTTGACTTTGCTTTTGCTTCACTTCAAATGAAAGTGAGAGTTTGAAATTTGTTCAAATTTGCCATGAAACTTATACTTTCCAAGAAGTTCGGGTCGGGTTTTCCTTTCGAAATCCTACCACAATTAGCGCTTTAGCTTAACTTGTCTTTTTGTATTGCTTTTTTGACGCAGCGGTAATCATTTTCATCAGTTGTACCCACAGTTCCGGACAGTTGAAACGTGACCAAAATTCGTTAAAATTTTTCATTAAAACGAAACTTCTCAAGGATTTACAGCCAGATTTTCCCTTCTAAACCGTAGCAAAATAAGCGCTTTAGCTCAACTCTCCTCTTTGGACCAAATTTCTGCGACTTCGGATTTATCAGCTTTAGTCATAGTTTCAAATGTAGTCAAAATTTGGAAAAAAATTTCATTAAAATGAACTCGCTTCTTTGTACCGAACTTTTGAATCTGCAATTCTTTCTTCAATTTTCATCAAAAATGTAGTCAAAATTCACAAAAAAATTCAATTATAATGAAACTTCTCAATCTCACAACCCGATTTTCTCTTCAAAACCATAGCAAAAGCAGCGTTTTGCTGATGTCACTTCTTTGTAACAAATTTTTGATCGGCGATTTCGATTTTCATCAGTTATAGTCACAGTTTAAAATGTAGTCAAAATTCGCAAAAATTGTTCATTGATGTGAAATTTTTCAAGAAGTTACATCCTGATTTTCGCTTCTGAACCGCAGCAAACCCAGCGCTTAAACTGAACTCGCTTTTATGTAGAAAATTTTTGAATCTGCAAATTCGATGTTTGTCAGTTTTAGTCATAATTTCCAAGTACCCGAAATTTGGAAAAACTTTCCATTTAAATTAAAGTTTTCAACGATTTACAGTCAGATTTTCCCTTCTAAACCGTAGCAAAATCATCGCTTTAGCTGAACTTGCTTCTTTGTAACGAATTTTTGAACTGGCGTTTACGATTTTCCTCAGTTATAGTCACAGTTTGAAATGTAGTTAAAATTCGGTAAAATTTTCCATTAATGTGAAACTTTTCAAGAAGTTACAGCAGATTTTCCCTTCTAAACCGTAGAAAACTCAGCGCTTTAGCGCACCTCGCCTCTTGGTTATGAATTTTTGAATCTGCGGTTTCGATTGCCATCAGTTCCAGTCACAATTTGAAATATAGTCAAAATGCGCAAAAATTTTCCATTAATGTGAAACCTTTCAAGAAGCCACAGCCAGATTTTCCCTTCTAAACCGTAGGAAAATCAGCGCTTTACCGCAACTCGCCTCTTTGTATCGAATTTTTGAATCTGCGATTTCGGGTTTTATCAGTTTTAGTCATAGCTTCAATAGTAATCAAAATTTTGAAAAATTCTCAATTAAAATAAAACTTATCAAGGATTTACAGCTAGATTTTCCCTTCTAAACGGTATCAAAATAAGCGCATTAGCTGAACTCACATCTTTTAAATAATTTTTGCAGCATTGCCTGCTCTGTTCAGGAAAAACCCAGCTACATCCACAGCATGAAATTTCGTCCAGAGTTCCATTAAAACAAAACAAAACTTCTCCAAGAGTTAGAGCGAGACGTTCAATTTCGGATTGTACTAAAACCAACCAGGAACATCGCAAAAAGAAACGGGCAAAAGTTGCTTATGGAAACTTGAAAATCCAGCTGATGCGAGAAATAATCAACCCGTTTAGAGTTCCGTCTAATGCAAGAGATGGGAAGCAGAGCGTGTATTTTGCCAGTAGAAATCCTCGAACGTAACTGCCAATAAGAGGAAATACAGTTTCTCTAAACCCACTAAAAGCCTTTCGGTTTAATCCGGTGCGACATAACAAGGGCCGCCCGAGGCTCCCAAAAGACAAACTTTTACACTTTGAGCGGAATAGTTTATTCGACACCAAAATTGTCCCTACAACCATCAAACCGTCGTCCATCTATTCCCCGAGTTTTACGGTCGTTTTTTTTGCGCTGAACGTTGCAGATTTTTTATTTTTTACCCATCGTCCTGAACATGGGAAAATGCTGATTTATTCCCGAGCCACGAATGCGGTCGACAGCACGTTAATTGCCGCTGTAAACACAACCGTATCTTGGCTGGATCGTCCGCAAAATCCTCAGCCTCGTCTCACTCTGACGAAAATGCCCCTTTTGCTTGCCGGTGCAATAAATTGCATTATGAAAATGCGCTGGTAAAGAGACATTTTCGTTTAAATTATATACGAGTTACTCGAGGGGAAAAACGCACTTTCTACAAAACGCCAAATCTCACCTGTATTGATTTCTTTAAAGCAACAAAAAGGAAAAGATGAAACGCAAATGCATCTGGTATTTGAGCTTTGAGCAACCGGCACTTGGAGCCGCGCTCTAAAACTACATGTTAATTACCCTTTAAAGGATAATGCCTGGCATTAAAAAGTTCCTTTGTGAGAAGGAGTGTGCATTTATTGCATACATAGTCGACTACCTAAGTGTAAAATCCTTTGAGGCTAATTCTCCGAATAAACCTCTAAACGGTTGCCGGCAAACGCTCTAAAACTGCTTTGATTAAACATCAGCTCGGCTGGGTGAAAATTAGCGGTTGTTTGGATTTTTCGGAGATTTCACGTGCTTTAAGGAGCAATGTGCTTAACTGAAGAGAGTTTTGAAAATGCCCCAAAGAGAATTCAGAGCGCATTTATTCACTGTCAACGGATATTGGCGATAAGAGTGTAATAAACATGGACGAACAGGAAATTTTACTCATTACCGCTTATTAGGGACACAATTGACACGAATCCCCAATATGATCCATTTAAGCAGTGTAAATTCACGTTGGAATCCACTTAAAAGGGGAACGACACATTTTCCTGCCGAATAAATTAATTGTGACAGGAAAGTGGGCGAAAACGCACAGCTTAGGCGCAAATATTGCCATCGATTTGAATAAATATGATTGATGGAAAACGGGATTGTGGATACACATTTTATTGAGCCCAAATGGAGCTCTCGAGTGCTTATTTAGAGCGCGTTGTGCCCTGACATTGAGCGAAAGTTTGTAGTTTTTTGCAAGCAAACAATTTGCTCTTTCTTTAGACTACACTAGAGGCGCCAGTGCGCTTTTATCAATCATATTCACCCGGAAAGTGCCAGTTTGAAGGATTTAGATGCTAACGTGGCGATACCTAATCCGGATCTTTGTGCATTAGCATTCAGCTCCCACAATATTCTTCATATGATACTTATCGAGCCCATCTGGTATTCCGGTCACGCATGTATGCAGATATACATATAAAATGTAATAAGGGAGTGTTTTATTCCAGCGTTTTATAGGTAAGATGCCAACTATAACGTTAACTTTGGCCATAAAATGGTTTATTAGATGGGTTGCGCCCGAAATCATAAACCCTTGGAGGGCGGTTTTGGGAGTGTAATTTTCAAAGAGATTCTCCAAACGGAACTTTCCACTTCCCGTCCCAGTTTTGCCAGGTTAAAATTCCCGAATCGAATCGATAGTGAGCGAATGAAAATGAATATCCCAATACCAACTACGTAATAATCGACCTGAAAATTTATAATTAACGAGCATTTTGTTCTAATTGCAGCCGTCACGAATGCACCAATTAAGACCCTACTTATTGGAAAATTATTAATATTTAAACACCCGACGTTCTGTGGCATATAATTTGCGGCAAATTATCACAATGTTATTAATTTTCAATGACCGCAATTGCGAATGAATTATTTCCATTGTCGAATACGGTCCTGTAAAAAGCCGCTCTAATGAACGCAGCAATTGCAAACCGCGCACTTATTGGTCGATGAATGTAAACAACTAACAATTAAGCCAACAACGTGCTACTGAAGAGCGAAAAGTGAACTGAAGCTGAAGAACTAGAATGGTGGTGCCGGTTCAATCTGTGAGGATCAGTGTCTAGTGTGTTAGTTAATCGGGTAAGTTTTAAATCTTTAGAAAACTAGTGTGGCCAAAGTCAAAGGCCTTTGGCCAGTCCTAAAAGGCTTCTGAAGGCCTTTGCATGCGCAACACCCGAATTACCTTGAGCGCAACTTTGGTTAATTGAGGACCTAACAGATAGAAGCATGAAATTGCTTAGTTCCTAGACTGGAACAGCGACAGCTTTGAAACCTGTGTGGCTTCCTGAGGAGACTTGAAGCCTAAAACGGGTAAATCTCCAGCCCAAATCAGAGCGATAAAAATTATTTAAATGTGCGCCTCAAAAGCGCGTGTGTTGGACTTTGCAAGGGCCCAAACAAAAATTCATATTTCTTGCCCTGGCCTTGAACCAGTTATCAAAGTTTATCAGATTTTTGAAGACAAATGAAGGTGACAATGTGATGTTTACCAGCGTAATCCGGTTGTTCGATAAGCGACCGGAATTGTGTAAATGTTAGCTTGATGGAAACCTTAATTCCGACTGTGTCAGCTACTAGAAAATACTGATATGTGAGAAAGTGGAAATTTCCAGCCCAATCTGGCTGCTCAATCAACAGGAATTTTTCAAAATTAAAGTTACCAAACCACTGGAATTTTAACCATTTGCAGGGCCCAAACAAAAATTCCTAATTCCGGCCCTGTGGCAGCTAAATAATTGAAATTTTGAATAGTTTGAACAACGGAAACTTCCAGATAAATCAAGAAACCCGATGAGGAGCAATAATTTTTCCAAAAAATCGCAATTCCTGCCTGAAGGAGCAAGATTGTGGAAATTTTGCTCACTTTCAGCTCAGACCAGTAGAAATTTTCAACCGAATCCAGCTGACAAATGGGAGACAACATTTTTGCGAAACCACCCTGCCAAACCGGACTTTTACCCATTTGCCGAGGCCCAAACAAAAATCGCTAATTCCTCCCCTGAAGCAGCAAGATCACACATCATTCTTAGAGGAGACTGGTAACTTAAAAAATAGCATTCTTAGCAAATCACCAGCTCAATTATCAATCAAATTAAGCGAGTTTCACAGCATATTCAATTAAACGTTTTATCGCAAGTCTTGAGCAACTTTAACATGGGAATGTACAACAAATATAATCGAAAATACAAATGTGATAAGCACAAACCGCGAATCTCTATGACAAATTAGCAACAATCCATCCAAATGTGCAATAACAACTTTAATTAGTTGATGGTAGCGTGTACAACTAAACAACTGGCATATTCTTTCTCTTAGGACCTTTCCACCTTAAGGCTTTTAACCGAGAATCGAATCTCCAATGGAACCTTTCATGGTTCCGTTGCAAATACAACTAGACGGTTGGTCGGAACCCGATTAACGGCTATTTCAATTCAATTAGAACGTGAATTTGGGCTGTTTTTTCTGCCGCTTTAAATATAAAGATTGCGGCGTTTTCGCCTCGAGGACTTTGGCCTAAAATGGTCAGAATTTGAAGAAAGCGTGATTGACCGAATCGCCCAAAATTGTTCACCGTTCTGTTTCGCTGTAATCAATGACATTCAATTCCAGATCCTTAACGATGACCATCCTTCGGATGGGATTTCTCGTGTTGGCTTCCAGCTTCTGGATATCCAGTCCGCTTGGCTGCAGATGGTTAGACACCAACGAACCGACCGAGTTCGAGTGCCCGGACCAGTTTTTCATCAGGATTTCTGGCAACAAGTTCCTTGAGGTGTATTGCCAGTGGGAGAGTGACGAGTTTCTGGATTTGGTGCCCGATTTAACTATTCCCAACCTCCAAAGTCTCAGAATGGAGGGATGCAGCGTGGATATGTTTGTTCAGGTGTTTAAAAGAGCGCAAATGCCCAACCTCATCCTTCTAGACTTGAGGTAACACTGGCCGTACTCCATCAACATCTGCAGGTCAACCACATTCCTTCCCTCTAGATTAGTGCCCTCAAGGAATGGCTCCAAAATCACCAGAGAAACCTTCAGCCAACTTCAGAGCTTAGAAGCGCTGAAAATACAGGAAAATTCGACGTCCTTAAGCCGCAACTTCCTCATAAACCTCAAGCAATTAAAAAATCTGTCTCTCAACTCTAATGGTTTGCTCTACATTGACTTCAATCTTGAGTCAGCAACTTCGCTGCTCCATCTGGACCTCTCCTTTAACCGCATTGAAACGCTGGAAAACCGGTCGTTCAAGGGCTTGCACCAGCTGCGGTATTTAAGCCTGGAAGACAATTCATTGCTGCATTTCAGCAAACAGGCGTTTGAAGGCCTTTGCAATCTGATGGAGCTGGATATGAGTGGAAATAAAATTTCCCTGATATCCCAAGACTCGTTTTCTCTTTTGCCCAATTTAACCAAAATCTCAGTGGCCCGGAATCGTATCGTTCAAATCCACAGTCGGCTGTTTGCCCATAACGTCTTTTTGGAGGAAATCTGGCTGTCTTCAAATCAAATTTCCAACCTGCCTGGAAGCTTATTCAGGCCCTGCTCACGGCTACAAACGCTCCAGCTGCAGGGCAACAGATTGAGGCAACTGCCTGTCGATCTGTTTCAAGGTCTGCAAACTCTAACAAATCTGGATCTTTCTGGCAATAATTTCACAACTCTCAGCCTGCCGGGAGAGGTCTTTTTCGCACTCACAAAACTCAGACGTCTGAATCTCAGCTACAACAACCTAAGCAACATCAGCATGACATTATTTGTAGGCCTGCATAGCTTAAAACGCCTGCTGCTGCACAACGCTGCAATATCCCAACTTCCCCAGCCGCTTTCAGGCCTTGATCTTGACCTGTTGGACCTTTCCTCTAACAACATCAGCCACCTTCAGGTAGCAATCAACTCCTCCAGTTGTTTGCAACAGTAACTGAAGAGGTTGTTCCAGATCCTGGATATTCTCAACTCAAAAATCTTCCACGTTGACCTGGCCAACAACCGAATTGAGCAATTGGTGTTTAACGTGAGCGAGCGCCTCACAGGGCGCAGGCAAGAGATTGACTTGGAGAGTAATCCCATCAACTGCGACTGTTCCAACTATGAGCTGATCAGCTTCAACCATGGCGCATATCCACAGCTGGAACGCCAGCTGAAAATCATGCAGCCGAAATTGGAGTGCGCCAACTTAAGGGGCACTTTAGTGCGTCAATTCAGGCCTAGGGACATTCATTGCAATGTCGTGGCTAATTGTCCAAAAGAGTGCGAATGCATCAGCACTCCGGCCTTAAATCGGCTAGTTTTAAATTGCTCGGAAAAGCAGCTGGAGCGCCTTCCCAGCCGATTGGAGTTTGGCAGCATGAAGGTGAAGTTGGACCTGTCCGGAAAAAGACTGGAGAGCATTGCCTGGGTACCTACAGCAGTCCAGGTAGGGCAAATGTTGGGCAGGGTGTTTTTAATAGCACTAGTAACGCTTATAGGAGTTGAGCCTAGAAAACAACCGCTTAAAAAACCTGGAGCCGCAATTTTTGGCTTCTCTGGATAATTCCCCCACTCTAAAGTGGCTCCACCTAAAAGGCAATCCGTGGGAGTGCAACTGTCAGTCTCTGGAGCTGCAGAAGTTCATCCAAAATAATTTCCACAAGGTTTCACTTGAATCCCTCCAAATCTCCCCGAAACCATTTGATTAATTTACAGATGAATTCTTCGGAAGTTTACTGCCAAAACACCCAAACCTTGTTGGTAAACATGCGACTCTACTGCCCTTCAATGATGATGGCTTCGCTACCAATCTGCCTGTTCCTGCTGGTCTGCTTAGCCACAATCCTCGCTTTATACTTTCGCTTCCAGCTGGACATCAAAGTCTTCCTCCATGCGAATAACCTCTGTCTTAGTTTCCTCGAAAACGACCTGGATGGGGACAAAACATACGACGTCTTCATCAGCTACAGCAACAAGGACGAGGCCTTTGTGCTGGAGCACTTGGTAGCTGAGTTGGAAAAAGGGGCTCAGCCCTACAGAGTGTGCATCCACAGCAGGGATTGGGTGCCAGGCCGCCTGATTATGGATCAGATCAGCTACAGCGTGCAGGAATCCAATCGGACGCTGGTCGTTCTCTCCAACAACTACCTGGACAGCGTTTGGGGCAAGATGGAGTTCAGGGTGGCTCACACACAAATGCATGGCGGCAGCAAAGTGGTTGTGGTCATCTATCCGGGACTGGATATGGAGCGACTGGACGACGAACTGAAGAACTATCTCAAGACCAACACTTATGTCAAATGGGGCGAGCGGTTCTTCTGGAGCAAGCTCAAGTATGCTCTGCGTCAATCGCGAAACCAGAAGCAAATGCAATGGGGAACGGATGGGACATGACTTTGGATATAATCTGGAAGAGTTACAAAGCATACGTTCCTCCTGGACAAAAGTAAGTTTATTTATTTGCAGGGTTTTGGTTTCCACCTATTATTTTCTTGATGTTGCTCTAGGCTGGAGATGAGTTGTGTAGCTGCTGAATATTTGAGGACCGGAGGAGTCCAATTGCGACCGAAGCATCAAGATGATCTAAGGCGTCAACAGTGGGAATGACACAAGATTCAAAATATATTAAAATCCCCTGGAGTTTCCAGTTATTCTGCAAAACATGTGCATTTCGCTGACATCCCACCACCCTGAACATTTGAAGAACTCCTATCCACAACTTACTCCATTAATATTCGTGCTCAAATAATCGGGACTAGTTGGATGGTATGAAATATTCCTATTGCGAAACATCAGCAAAACATCAATAAGAGTTGGACATCGCCAATCATTTGCATTGATATCCACATACTCCAGGCCAATGTGATTGGCGATAAGATTCAGTTCGTTGCGCCTTAACACATTGTCGCCCTGACCATACTCGTGGCCAATTTGGTTGCCTTGCAAGTAGAGAAATGTGAGCTTGGGCATCGATACGCCAAACACCAAATGTGGCTTGCTTCGCAACAGATCGTTATGGGAAAGATCCAGTAGGATGAGACTATCCAGAGCGGCAAATATGCCAGCCGGCAACTGTTGCAGTTGGTTGTTGTTCAGGTATAAATGGGTCATTAGTGCTAATTGGCGGAAAACGCCCACGTTTAGAACAGAGAGTTCATTGTGGGCCAAAGAAAGCACTTCCAGTCGCTTCATTGCACCGAATGCGTCAACGTCCAACGAGGAAATGGAGTTCATGGAGAGATTCAGCTTTTTCAGCGACAATAAATCAGCCAGTTCAGTGCTGAGTTTCTTAATGTCCTGGTTGGATAAGTCCAACTGCTCCAACGAGGTCAAGGACTGGAATAGTTTGATGCCGTATTGCCCCAGCTGGTTCAGGTTGATGATCCTCTTCAGGCTGAAGAGCCCTTGGAAGGCCAACTCATCAATTTCTGAGGCAGTAGATTGAGAAAACGTCAACTTTCTCAGCTTGTAAAAGCCCGCAAACTGACCGGCGCTCAATTTACCCAACGTTGAATTGACCAGTGTCAGCTCAGTTGTATAAATGTTACTTATTAGGTCGGCGCGCATATTTTCCCCGAGACTGATTGTTAAACTCCTCAATGCAGGAATTGTTGAAAAAGGATTCTCTGGCAATGTCTTAAGAAAAACGTTGGCTATATTGAGATATTCCAAGTCCGGGCAGTTTCTAAAAGTGTCCCCATCGAGGGTTTCAAGGGGGTTATTGGAGATATCCAGCCGCTTAATACTTTCCACGTGATCAAACACTCCGTCCAATGAAGCAATGAGGTTTGCGGATAAATCGAGAAAGCCGGCAACAAAATATTGAAAAACACCCGACTCTATGGAGATTATGGAAGAATGGGACAGATCTAGATGGAAAATGTCGGCCTTGCTAAACACCGACCCCGTTAAAGCCGACAAACTGTTGAAGCTTAAGTTTAGAACATTCAAAGTGTGCCTGCTGAAGTAATTGGGAGATATTCTGGACAGGTTTGAGCTGGATAAGTCTATCGAGATTCTTCCTGAACACTTCAGCGACATTATCGAGTGGAACTTAAACAGGTCCTCATCCAAACCACCCAGATTGCTGTTGGTCAGGCGAATTTCTTGTGCAATATAAATTCTTTCCCCTTGCAAGCTGTTGAGGGATTTGCTGGAATTGGACATATCGATCGACAGACAAAATAAATTCCGTGAAGCTGCAAGCTTAATATCAATCCCACTGTTCCCACTGAGGTTAAAGAAAAGGGCGCCATAAAAAGAGCTGAAATTCAGCCGAATCTGGGAAAGATTGGCATTGAAACTCAAATCCACATTCCTCACTGAATTCCTGCTCAACTCAAATTCCTGTAAATTACTGTGACTCAAATCAATCATCTCAAATCTGGTTTGGACGCGTTGTAAGTAAGCAAACAAGTAACTGTCGGCAGTGAAATTGCTATGACTCAAATACAGAATCCTCAATCGCCTCATTTTATTTAGGAACTTGTAGTCTAATAAATTGTTCCAGCTCAAATCCAGCACCTCCACCATGGACAGTTTGGACAAGTTCTTGGCTACAATGTTGCTCACGGAGGAATTGACTATTTTCAAGCAACTAACCGAAGAAAATTGGTCGTCTAGAGGCAAGAAAATCCAATCGTCGATAACGGGCAGAAGAGAATCGGCAATGTCTATGGATATTTTGGCACTAGTATCCAAAGGCGAATTAATGATGGTGGCCCTACTTGCAAACAGTTCTGCCACATAGTCTTCAGCCGTGATATTTCTGCAGATTATTGCGCCAGTGGTTTCCGTGAATGTGAACACGCACTTTCCAGCTACATGCGCTATGCACAGCGACAGAAACAAAAGCAAGTAGCAACATTGATGTTGAGGCATCGCAAAAAGGCCCTAGAACTGATAAAATGGGGGAAAACTGCGCCTAAAGCATTGATTGAGAAAATTACCTGCGTAATGAAGCAATTTATAGCAAACTGGCTGAAAATGCCTGCTATGCTTATAATCAGTCAACTATTTTAACTTAAATGGCATTTGCAATGACCATTTCATTGAATGATAATAAGAATATTCAAATATTGGACTTGAATTTGATAATGAGAACAATTTGAATCAGCTCATGTTCTAACCTTTGCACGCGTTCCTTATACAGGGAGGCCGCAAATTGGGAAGAATAGGCAAAGCCAATATTTTTTCGATCAGAAATGCTGCAAACCATCTGGTGAGGTGCACAATTTTGACGAAATCATGTCTGGGCGCTGAATATGTTGAAGAAACAATCAGTTTCGAAAACAACAACTTCGCGGTGAGGACGTTTTGATCCGAAACAAGAGATGAGCTAAAGCGTGATTTTAAAATCACTAATTGTGAATGTGATTTCACTCGTGGTTGCCGTTTTCGTGATATACCGCGTCATAAGGTGATGGGCAATTGTGCGTCACTTGCAGAAACAATTTTAAAACATTTGTAATTGATATTTTTTAAATAAATAACCTTATTTAGGTGTACAAGAAATAATATTTTATACTTAAAGTACAAATGATTTTAAGGGCATTAACAAATAACAGCCTTTGCAACTAGCAAGTGGCTACATATTTTGTAAACCCATGTACTCTAAAAGTTCTAAAAGCATTCTAAAAAAAATTAAAAAGGAACAAAAAATTATTGTTTTACACAGAACGAATAGCGTATGTAGCTCTTAATTATTTGTGAACAAGATATATTTGATTTTAATTTTTAATCTGAAAAAAACTTTATTTGAGAGAAAATAGGTTCAAAAATTTTACTCTTCCCGAAAATTTTCAGAATTTATTGATATTGTGGGATGTTGCATTCCATGTGCCGTTTCAAATTCGACGTATGTACTGGTTTTGTAAGATAATTTTGCTTTGCATAAGTTGCATTTTGCAAAATTATCATCTAATACAGGCAAAGTCCACAAAAAAGTAATTTTCCGTCGCTTTGCACAATACAGAATAAATAATTTCAATTCAAAAAAAAGGAACAAAACAGAAAAACTAAACGTATTCCCGGAAAATTGTTTCAAAAATACACAAACAGGCTGCAGATACACAATCAGAGTACGGCTAATGAATGGTGCATACCGAAATAGGTTCCTAAAAATATCAATAAAATCCAGGCTCATGGGAACCCGTGAATGCAAGCTTTCATTAGCGAACAAAATAATTTGATTTGAATTCGTTCTTTCGCCGGGCCACATGTACAACATATTGTAACGGAAATGGCCTGGGGTACTCACCTTTGGAATGGGGGATCGAAATTCATGGTATTTCAGTAAATGGGAGCCCCATTTGGGCCCCATTTACTGTCAAATATGACACTGACAAGCGGGAAGTTTCGCACCTGTTCTGGAGATTTCTAGAACTATCTGGAATACCTGGAGAAATGTATATAAGCGACGACGAGAACCAGACAAGGGAGAGTGAAGTGACAGCCGCGCCTGAGTGCAGAAGAAGTTAAACCCGCGAGTCGGAAATCCGTGTTTTCCGTGTGTTATTGTTATCGTTTGTGAAGTTGACATTAATTTAGAAGTTAGTTTGTTCCTGTTCCGTAGTTAAAGTTGTACCGAGTGGAATAAAAGTTG